GTGCTTTGTTAAGTGGTGCCACCCTGGCCCTCCTCCCCTCCGCCCCCTGCTCTGTGCCCTGCTGCTCAACCCCCCTCCCACCCCCTACTCTGCATGTGGCCAGTGTGCTGCAGGATGGGAGAGGCCCAGTAAGTATGCTACTGAAACCAAAAGGTTGGGAAACACTGACCTATAGAAATGACAGCATTTCCTGCTCCTGCTAAGGAGTTCTACTTCAGTGGAAGCCAAATCTATTTTCTGTGGCTTAACTAGTCTCAATGGCCTACAGAATCCCACCGACTTCAATAGGCTTTAAATCAGACTCTACACATGTTTTTAACACTGGTATTTTGGAAAGAAAATTTAAGACATTGACCTGGATGCCTAGCTTGTGCCATTTAATGTTTTTGTCCCTTGACAGTTTTCTGACTTTCAAGACAAAGGCCATGTGCAGACATTTAGTTTCTTCTAAGAGAATCTCTGCAAGCATACAGATGTTCAGGATTTTTCTCCCAAAGCAAAAATGGTTGCTCCAAGAGGAAAATAACCTAGGAACAACCAGGATTAAATTGTGTCCAGGAGAGAGTTTCTCCTGGAAGAATGAATATCTATATACATTATCTTCTGCAAAAAGCACAGCATAGTCCTTCAACACCCCAGTGGGCTTTGCTCCCAACTCCCCCTTACTCTCTCTCTAGGAGACAGTGTGTTGCTCACTGGACTTTGCTGCTCAAGCTGAGCAAGGAGAAGTACATGCCTTGTTCAAAATATTCGCATTGTGTTGCAGGCAAACATAGGCTGACACTGATCAGTCTGGATCAATCAGGGCTGCCCTGGGCACTGCTGCCATCTGTCTCCAGGCAGACTGAGGGATTCCACTGAGATGTATACCCAGGGGCCCTCTGGCCATGCAGTCTCAGCACTACAAATTCTGCAACAGCTCAGCATTCAAATGTCTGTTCAAGTATCCCCAAGTAAGTTTTTCTGCCAGAAAAACAAACCTGGGAGAATTCTCCCAGATCATTTGAATTAGTACAAATATGATCCAAAGGTAAGAATTAGAAGCAACAAAAATGCTAAAGATACCTGAAAACTGCAACTAACATGAAAAGCAAATGATATTTGAAAGATTTTATTTAAAACACATTTAAAATTCACTATGTACCACAATAATTTAAATTAAATGCAACTATTTAGAATATATCGAATGCTCCAGCAGCTGGGTCCCTACATGCCCTTTATGACCAAAAGTCTTTGCTGAACGGTGTTTGAGCGTCTTTGTCCCAAGGTCATGCAGTTAAAGTATCCAACAGTTATTTTGGCATCAACTTCAAGCTGATTTTTTTTTTTTAATCTTTTAGGGAAAG